CACGCTATATGCATCCGAAGAAGTGGGCTGTAGCCCACGAAAGCTTATGCTCTAATAAATTTGTTAGTCTCTAAGGTGCCACAAGTACTCCTGTTCTTTTTGCGGATACAGACTAACACGGCTGCTACACCTCTCCTTTTTCTGACACTCCCACTCCCTGCTGCTTGGCCTCAGTTTATAGACCGGTAGAAGAGTCTCCTTTTCAGCATCGTAGGGAGCAAGCATGAGATAGTATTCTAACTGATATGGATCTTCCTGTCTTTTTCTGGGCCACAGCCTTTTTCTTCAAAACAATTCAGTAACCCTAAGGAGGCACCTGGCGAGAGTTTGGCTTTTTCATGTACCTGTGATTATTGGAGAAACTCCCTCTGGAATTATTAGGCTAGATTTAGAGTTGTGCCTCCTGAGCGGCACAGTCTAGAAGGAGAGTCTGTCTCTGCTGGGAGCTGCTTTGGCCCCCTAGGGCTGCTCTAATGTATGGTAGCTTCCCTACAGCTGCTAATGGGCTGCTGTATAGCCCAGAAGGACTGTATCACTGAGTGCTTATTGCTACTCTCTCTCCTACTTTGGCGAGCCCCCTACAGTTGGTGCTGCAAAGGGGACTGGCACAAGGCCGCATATGCCAGCTTCACATAGCTCCTGTGCTGGAGAAAATTGCCCCTGGGCTGTTGCAGCCCTTTTATGGCCCTTATATGCCTCCAAAGCAGAGTATATGGGTTGGGTCCAGAATCTGGCCCATTCTCCTTTATATATGTCTCTATTTATCATCTAAGGTTTTAGAAGAAAAACATTTTGGTCCTTGAATAGGTCCAATAGAGTTCTTATGAACAATTAACATTCAGAAAATCCATGCTGTTTGCAGCATAGTGACTGATAAGACTTTCCTAGCATCAGCCATTAAATAATTGTATATGTTCCCAGTATAAGACAGACAGAGTCGCAGTTCTTGTGTAACAAAATACAAAGTCAAAAACTATGCCCAAATAAGTAAATTAAGGTCTTGTTTGTATAACTTCTTGTATTTTCAGCTACCAAAGAAAAGCTACACCAGGACATTACTACAGTCGATCAGAAATTTACTGAGGTGATAACTGAACAAGCAAATCTCCGTATCAATGCAGCCCAGTCTTCAAAGATACTTTATGTCATCACAACCAGCCCGAGTCATCCCCCTAGCATCATGCCTGGTAATATCCAAAGGGAATTGATGGGCAGAAACAACAGGGAAAATGCACTGATATACAGATTATGAAATGGCTTACTTTGTCTTTTCATTCTCTGTGTGGTGCATTAGTGATGTACATTTACTGTATGAGACAGTGCATTGAACAAATAAGAGTAGGCTAGATCACAGAGTGACACGAAGTGGTGCTAAATGCACATGGGGAGAAGCAGAGGGTCATTAGGTGGTTTTACTCTACCTCTGTGTTACCCTGATACTTGAGACTGCTGAGGGCCTCAGAGCTTCTCTAACTTGCATTTTCAAATACAAGACCCCCCTTGGGGCTTTTCTATCAGCCATGTTTGCCAGAGCATGTTGCACCATACTATCCCACCCATGACATGCTGAAGCCTGAGTGTGGAGGAAAGGCCAGGAGGCATTTGTGCTGCACTAGTTTAGAACTCTTTTATACTAGGAGTATCTTCAGCTGCTGCTTCAAGGCATTTTTGAATCCCCTTTGTGCTGCTGGAATGACGAAGGGAACTAAAGAGGGGTCAAGGATCTGGTGCAATGTCCAAGAGCCAACAATCTAAAGGAATGCAATGAGACCGAGCAGGACAGTACAACACAGATCAAACACTGAGCAGAATCTGCAATGGGAAAAGAACAGGGCAAATGCTGATGTGAGATCAGCCGATCTCCTTGCAAATGGAGAATTGATTCTTATGGTACATTCCCATAAGCATTGTTCAGTTTATTTGTAAAATTTCCTAGGAATGTGCTTCCATCCTTTTCAAAGAGGGACAATTGCACAGCTTTAAAATCTCTGTAAGGAAATAGTTCCTGATATTTACTCTAAAATTTCTGAAGTTTGAAATTTTATAACGAACTATCTTGCACTAGCCAAGTGGGAATGGGCTGGTTGGAATGTAAGAGATCTCTTTCAGCTTGAATTGCTCTAATTTAAACATTGCTTGAAATGGAAGCTTTCAGTTGAGTGTCCAAGAGTAAGTGTGTTAAAACAGAAAGCACATACATTATTTTAAAACTATAAGCAAATTAATGTGCTAGAAGATATGCCTTTTTCTTTTCCATAGAGTGGACAGTATATGGCCTCACAGCTCTCCTCATCCTAACTGTCTCAGCCATATTGGCAAAGATACTTCTGCATTTCATAATGAAGTAAGTATACGATTAAGTTTTCCTGGGTGTACCTGGGACATATTGATTCAGGCTCATGCATGGAATTCTTTGTGTCCTGGAGGGAACCACTCTCACCTTCTTATACTGTGTGACTAGTTATGTTCAATAACATGGGTTATATAGTGTTTTCAGTGTCTCCTCAATCACTTGCCAGATAAAGCACATCTCTACCTTTCCACTCTTTGTACAATGAAATTTGCAACTGAAGGATCCCTTTTGTTTTTATTTTATGGACATTCATGTTACCAGGGGTGAGAGGATTCTCATACAGACTAAAATTACAGAGGAGAAGAAATTAAACAAAGATTTTCAGCATTGTTGGGAGGAAGGCTGATTATTTTAATATTTAATGCAAAAAGTATTAATGAAATGTTAAAGAGCAGCCCATTCCATCAGCGATGAATCAGCTAGTCTATATTCTCTCTCTCTTCTGTACCCATTCTAATTTTTCAGCAGCAAAGAGCCACAAAAGTGATTCAAAGTCTTGAAAATCCGTGTCATAGCAAGAGATTTAAGATGCTCAATCTATTTACCTAATTGACAGAGAAAGTTAAGCGGTGACTTGATTTTAGTCTACAAGTACCTACACATGGAAGAGGTTTCTGATAGTAGACAGCTCTTTAAATCTAACAGAAAAAGGCAAACTAAATCCAATAGTTGGAAGCTGAAACTAGACACATTCAGACTAGAAATAAGGTGTAATTCCATAACAGTTAGGGTAATTAACCATTGGAACAACCTATCTAGGGACATTGTGGATTCGCCATCATTTGAAGATTTTAAATGATTTTATGTCTGTCTAAAAGTTATTAATAAATGCATACTCACAGCCATCGATTTTGAGGCTAGCAGGGCCATTGTGAGATAATCTAATCTGACCCCCTATATAACACAGGCCATAGAACAGGGGCAGGCAAACTTTTTGGCCTGAGGGTCGCATCGGGTTTCATAAATTGTATGGAGGGCCGGTTAGGGGAGGGGGGTCGTGGCCCGGCCCCCACCTCCTATCTGCCCCCTCCCCCGAACTCCTGCCCCATCCAACCCCCCTGTTCCCTGACGGCCCCTCTGGGACCCGTGCCCCATCCACACACCCCTGCTCCCTGTCCCCTGACTGCCCCCTGTCCGGTTGTGGCCCGTGGGCCGTAGTTTGCCCACCTCTGCCATAGAAAGAACAGGAGTACTTGTGGCACCTTAGAGACTAACAAATTTATTAGAGCATAAGCTTTTGTGGGCTACAACCCACTTCTTCGGATGCACGTCTCTGAAATAATTTGTGTATGACTTAGAGCATATCATGCTTTTAAAATTGCCAGTGAGGGAGACACTAATTAATTACCCTCACTGTTAAAAATGTGTGCCTTATTTCAGTCTGAATTTATCAGGCTTCAACTTTCAGCCATTCATAGATTCTAAGGCCAGAAGGGACCATTATGATCATCTCATTTGACCTTAGTATAACATAGGCCAGAGAACTGCCCAAAAATAATTCCTAGAGCAGATCTTTTAGAGAAAACATCCAATCTGGATTTTAAAATTGTCAGTAAGGCAGACTCCACCATGACCTTGGTAAATTATGTCAATTAATGGTTTATTACTCTCACTGTTAAAAATATATATCTTATTTCCATTCTGAATTTGTCAAACTTCAAGCCATTGGATCGTGTTACACCTTTCTCTGCTAGACTGAAGAGTCCATTATTAAATATTTGTTCCCCATGTAGGTACTTATAGACTGTAATCAAATCACCCCTTAATCTTCTCTTTGATAAACTCAATATATTGAGGTCCTTGAGTCTTTCACTATAAGGCGTGTTTTCCAATCTTTTAAGCATACTTAGGGCTCTTCTCTGAGCCCTTGTCAAGTATTTCCAACATCCTTCCTGAATGGTGGGCACCAGATCTGGACACAACATTCTAGCAGAGGTCCCACCAGTATCAAATACAGAGGTGAAATCACCTTCCTACTCCTATTTGAGGTTCCCCTATTTATACATCCCAGGATTGCATTAGCTCTTTTGGCCACAGCATTACTTTGAAGCTCATAGAACCATAGAAATGTAGGACTGGTAATCTAGTCCAATCCCCTGCACTGAGGCAGGACTAAGTATTATCTAGACCATCCCTGACAGGTGTTTGTCCAACCTGCTCTTAAAAACCTCCAATGATGGAGATTCCACAACTTCACTTGGTAATTTGTTCCATTGCTTAACTACACGGACAGGTAGGACGTTTTTCCTAATGTCTAAACTAAATCTCCCTTGCTGCAATTTAAACCCATTACTTGTTCTGTCCTCAGTGGTGAAGGAGAACAATTTTCACCCTCCTCTTTATAACAACCTTTCATGTACTCGAAGACTGTAATGTCTCCTCTCAGTCCTCTCTTCTCCAGCATGTCACAAGCCCAATTTTTTCAATCTTTCCTTGTAGGTCATGTTTTCTAGACTTTTAATCATTTTTGTTGCTCTCTTCTGTACTTTCTGTAATTTGCCCACGTTTTCCTGAAGTGTGGTGCCCAGAATTAGACACAATATTCCAGATAAGGCCTTATCAGTGCTTAGTAGAGTGAAATAATTACTTCTTGTGTCTCACTCTTTTTTTTTTTTTTTTTTTTTTTTTTTTGCAAGAGTCTTATGTTGTTGACCCCATATCCTTTTCTGCAGTACTCTATCATAGGCAGTCATTACCTATTTTGTATTTGTGCAGTTGATTATTCCCGACCAAGTATAGTATTTTGTATTTGTCCTTATTGAATTTCATCCTATTTAATTCAGACTATTTCTCCAGTTTGTCAAGATCATTTTGAATTTTAATCTTGTCCTCCAAAGAGCTTGCAAACCCTCCCAGATTGGTATCATTCACAAGTTTTATAAGTGTACTCTATATGCCATTATCCAAATCATTTATGAAGATATTCACTAGAACTGGACTCAGGACCGATCCCTGCGGGACCCCACTTGATGTGCCTTCTAGCTTAATTGTGAGCCAATGATAACTACTCTCTGAGCAGTTTTCCAGCCAGTTGTGTACTCACCTTATGTAGCTCCATCTAGGCTGTATTTTTCTTGTATGTTTACGAGACGGTCATGTGAGACAGTAGCAAAAGCATTATTAAAGTCAAACTATATCACATTCACTGCTTCCCCCTATTGACAAGGCTTGTCACCCTGTCAAAGAAGGATATTAGGTTGGTTCGATATGATTTGTTCTTGACAAATCCATGTTGACTGCTACTTATTACCTTATTATCTTCTAAGTGCTTATAAATTAATTGTTTGATTATTTTCTCCATTATCTTTCCGGTACCAAAGTTATGCTGACTGGTCTACAATTCCCTGGGTTGTCCTTATTCCCTTTTTTGTAGAAAGGTACTATGTTTGTCCCTTTTCCAGCCCTCTGGTATGTCTCCCATCCTCCATACATTCGCAAAGATAATCACTATTGGCTCAGAGATGTCTTCAGTTAGTTCCTTAAGTATTCTAGGACATATTTCATCAGGCCCTATCGATGTGAAGACATCTAACTTGTCTGAGTCATTCTTAACTTGTTCTTTTCTTATTTTAGCCTCAGATTCTACCCCATTTACACTGTTCTCTATGTTAGTCGTCAGATCCCTGCAAACTTTTTGGTGAAAACTTGAAACAAAAAAGGCATTTAATACTTCGGTCATTGCTATATTATCTGTTATTGTCTTTCCTTCCTCATTTGGTAATGGGCCTACCTGATCCTTGGTCTGCCTCTTGCTTCCCACATATTTGTAAAATGCTCTGTTACCATTTTTTATCCCTAGCTTATTTAATCTTATTTTGTACCTTAACCTTTCTAATTTTGTCCTTACATGCTTGTGTTGATTTTTTAAATATATTCATCCTTTGTAATTTAACCTATGACTCTTTTTTGGGTCTGGGGTCATTGAAGATCTCTTGGCAAAGCCAGGGTGGCCTCTTATCATACTTTTTATCTTTCCTACACATTGGAATAATTTGCTCTTTTGCCCTTAATAATGTCTCTCTAAAAAACTGCCAGCTCTCCTGAACTCTTTTTTCCCTTAGGCCTGGTCTACACTAGGGGGGGGATCAATCTAAGTTACACAACTTCAGCTACGTGAATAATGTAGCTGAAGTCGACGTACTTAGAACTACTCACCGCGGTGTCTTCACTGCGGTAAGTCAACTGCTGACACTCCCCCGTCGACTCCGCCTGCGCCTCTCGCTCCAGTGGAATACCGGAGTCAACGGGAGAGCGCTCGGCAGTCGATTTAGCGCCTCTTCACTAGACGCGATAAATCGACCCCTGCTGGATTGATCACTCCGGAGGTAAGTATAAACATGCTCTTAGACTTGCTTCCCACAGGATCTTACCTACCAATTGTCTGAGTTTGCTAAAGTCTGCCTTCTTCAAGTTCATTGCCTTTATTCTGCTGTTTTCCCTCCTACTATTCCTTAGAATCATGAACTCTATCATTTCATGGTCACTTCATCCAAGCTGCCTTCCACTTTCAGATTCTTAACCAACTCCTCCCTGTTTGTCAGAATTAAATGCAGAATACCCTCTCCTCTAGTCTCTTTCTCTACCTTCTATAATAAAAGCTGTCTCCAATGCATTTCAAGAACTTGTTGGATAATCTGTGCCCTGCTGTATTATCATCATGTTGAGCTGATTATCCACCACAATCCTCATGTCTTTTTCAGAGTCACTGAAGTCTTCCTACTGGGTAGTGGTAATTAGTACAAGAAAGAGCGCTCTTCGTTTGTGTTCTCGCTAGCAATAGGGGCATGAAAAGAATTAGTGCACCAGGCTGAGAACATGGTTATTATTTTTGACCACCACTCACTATTGATGCAAAGATTTTTTTATGCCTAAAAGATACTATTACAATAATCTAGTCTGTCCTCCTGAAGAACACAGGCCATAGAATTTTGTCCATTAATTCCTGCATCAAGCTTTTAATTTATGGTTTAACTAGAATATACCTTTTAGAAAGACATCTGGTCTTGAGCTGAAGACTTCAAGTGAGCAAGGGTTTACCACACACCTGGTTAATCTGCTGTGATTGTTAATTACCCTCTTGGTTAAAAATGTGCACCTTATTTCTAGTTTTAATTTTTCTAGACTCAAATTTCAGCCAGTGGACCTTTTTATGCTTATGTCGGCTAGATTAAAGAGGCCTCCACTGTCCGATACATTCTACATATGTAGGTAGAACTAGATTGCAATCGAGACACCTCTTAATCTTCTCTTTAGTGAGCTAAACAGATTGATCTTAAGTTTCTCACCATAATGTGTGTTTTTCCAGAGTCAAATCAATCTTGTAGCACTTCTTTGAATCTTCTCCAATTTTTCAACATCCTTTTTCAATGTGTGGCAACCAGAACTGAACACAGAATTCCAGTTGCGGTCTTACCAAACCATGAAGCGATGTTATCCCTTCCCTACTCCCATTTGATATTCCTCTGTTTATATAGTCAAAGCTCATGGTAACTTTTTTAGCCACAAGTATCACACTGAGAGTGCATTTTTAACTGATCATTTACCATAACCCCAATGTTCTTTATGGATCCACCATCCTGTAAGTATGTCCTACATCTTTTGTTCCTAGATGTATGACCTTGTATTTGGCTATATTAAAATAGGAAAGTCCTGTGTGTCTCAGAAGCAACATGAAAATTTTTCAGTTGCAGTTTGCTTTATGTGCTCTCATCATCACTTTGCAAAAGCAACACCTGTCCTTGTGCCAATGAGGCACAATTGTTGTAATTTACCTTCTGTTAGGGTTCACTAGCACTTGCAACTAGTACAAAAAACAGGTTGGAGCACCGAGGATCACATTGTACTACCCTTTTTACATTATCTGCCTGTAAAGTGGCAGATTGATTTTTAAGTTTGCATTGTTAGCTTTTAATGCCCTGAATATGTGACTTCCTATCTGAGCCTCATCCTGACAGGTATTAGCACTCTGAAACCTTATTGATAGGTGTTCCACTTTTGCACATGGATCACTGGATGACTGCACTTTGGCTGTGGCAGCTCATGGCATGTAAAATTTATTCTACATTCCAGAAAGCATCTGTAAACACACTTTTTTTAAGAGGCATTTTCATTATTAACATTGATTAGTTCCTGAATAGAACCCTCTCCCCATTTTTAAATAGTCCCCAAATAGCTAGCCTTTTAGCAATTTTATAGCGTTGTTTTAATGGTGCTTTAATTATATTTCAGATCGTTGTTTAGTAATAATGCAGCATGGTCGAGTGGACAAGGCAGTGGCTTTGGACTCAGAAGACCTCGGGTCTTTTCCCAGCTCTTGCTGTGACCTTATTATGTCACTTCTTTGTGCCTTCTGTTTCTCCTCTCATCCTGTTCTGTCTAGTTTATTTAGATTGTAAACCATATGGGGCAGGGAATGGTTTCTTACTATGTGGTGTATAGTGCCAAGCATAATGCTGCCCCAGTCTCATTCTCAACATGGAATGTTGGTGTGGATGGGTACAGCTTGCTCAGGAAGGATAGACAGGGGAAAAAGGGAGGAGGTGTTGCCTTATATATTAAAAATGTACACACTTGGACTGAGGTGGAGATGGACACAGGAGACAGAAGTGTTGAGAGTCTCTGGGTTAGACTAAAAGGGGTAAAAAACAAGGGTGATGTCATGCTAGGAGTCTACTACAGGCCACCTAACCAGGTGGAAGAGGTGGATGAGGCTTTTTTTAAACAACTAACAAAATCATCCAAAGCCCAAGATTTGGTGGTGATGGGGGACTTCAACTATCCAAATATATGTTGGGAAAATAACACAGCGGGTCACAGACTATCCAACAAATTCTTGGACTGCATTGCAGACAACTTTTTATTTCAGAAGGTTGAAAAAGCTACTGGGGGGAAGCTGTTCTAGACTTGATTTTAACAAATAGGGAGGAACTCATTGAGAATTTGAAAGTAGAAGGCAGCTTGGGTGAAAGTGATCATGAAATCATAGAGTTTGCAATTCTAAGGAAGGGTAGAAGGGAGTACAGCAAAATAGAGACAATGGATTTCAGGAAGGCGGATTTTGGTAAGCTCAGAGCGCTGATAGGTAAGGTCCCATGGAAATCAAGACTAAGGGGGAAAACAACTGAGGAGAGTTGGCAGTTTTTCAAAGGGACACTATTAAGGGCCCAAAAGCAAGCTATTCCGCTGGTTAGGAAAGATAGAAAATGTGGCAAAAGACCACCTTGGCTTAACCACGAGATCTTGCATGATCTAAAAAATAAAAAGGAGTCATATAAAAAATGGAAACTAGGACAGATTACAAAGGATGAATATAGGCAAACAACACAGAAATGCAGGGGCAAGATTAGAAAGGCAAAGGCACAAAATGAGCTCAAACTAGCTACAGGAATAAAGGGAAACAAGAAGACTTCTTATCAATACATTAGAAGCAAGAGGAAGACCAAAGACAGGGTAGGCCCACTGCTCAGTGAAGAGGGAGAAACAGTAACAGGAAACTTGGAAATGGCAGAGATGCTTAATGACTTCTTTGTTTCGGTCTTCACCGAGAAGTCTGAAGGAATGCCTAACATAGTGAATGCTAATGGGAAGGGGGTAGGTTTAGCAGATAAAATAAAAAAAGAACAAGTTAAAAATCACTTAGAAAAGTTAGATGCCTGCAAGTCACCAGGGCCTGATGAAATGCATCCTAGAATACTCAAGGAGCTAATAGAGGAGGTATCTGAGCCTCTAGCTATTATCTTTGGAAAATCATGGGAGACGGGAGAGATTCCAGAAGACTGGAAAAGGGCAAATATAGTGCCCATCTATAAAAAGGGAAATAAAAACAATCCAGGAAACTACAGACCAGTTAGTTTAACTTCTGTGCCAGGGAAGATAATGGAGCAAGTAATTAAGGAAATCATCTGCAAACACTTGGAAGGTGGTAAGGTGATAGGGAATAGCCAGCATGGATTTGTAAAGAACAAATCATGTCAAACCAATCTGATAGCTTTCTTCGATAGGATAACGAGTCTTGTGGATAAGGGAGAAGCTGTGGATGTGGTATACCTAGACTTTAGTAAGGCATTTGATACGGTCTCGCATGATAGTCTTATCGGCTACTATAAGGTGGGTGCATAACTGGCTGGATAACCGTACTCAGAGAGTTGTTATTAATGGTTCCCAATCCTGCTGGAAAGGCATAACAAGTGGGGTTCCGCAGGGGTCTGTTTTGGGACCGGCTCTGTTCAATATCTTCATTAACGACTTAGATATTGGCATAGAAAGTACGCTTATTAAGTTTGCAGATGATACCAAACTGGGAGGGATTGCAACTGCTTTGGAGGACAGGGTCATAATTCAAAATGATCTGGACAAATTGGAGAAATGGTCTGAGGTAAACAGGATGAAGTTTAACAAAGACAAATGCAAAGTGCTCCACTTAGGAAGGAACAATCAGTTTCACACATACAGAATGGGAAGAGACTGTCTAGGAAGGAGTACGGCAGAAAGGGATCTAGGGGTTATAGTGGACCACAAGCTAAATCTGAGTCAACAGTGTGATGCTGTTGCAAAAAAAGCAAACATGATTCTGGGATGTATTAACAGGTGTGTTGTGAGCAAGACACGAGAAGTCATTCTTCCGCTCTACTCTGCGCTGGTTAGGCCTCAATTGGAGTATTGTGTCCAGTTCTGGGCACCGCATTTCAAGAAAGATGTGGAGAAATTGGAGAGGGTCCAGAGAAGAGCAACAAGAATGATTAAAGGTCTTGAGAACATGACCTATGAAGGAAGGCTGAAAGAATTAGGTTTATTTAGTTTGGAAAAGAGAAGACTGAGAGGGGACATGATAGCAGTTTTCAGGTATCTAAAAGGGTGTCATGAGGAGGGAGAAAACTTGTTCACCTTAGCCTCTAAGGATAGAACAAGAAGCAATGGGCTTAAACTGCAGCAAGGGAGGTTTAGGTTGGACATTAGGAAAAAGTTCCTAACTGTCAGGGTGGTTAAACACTGGAATAAATTGCCTAGGGAGGTTGTGGAATCTCCATCTCTGGAGATATTTAAGAGTAGGTTAGATAAATGTCTATCAGGGATGGTCTAGACAGTATTTGGTCCTGCCATGAGGGCAGGGGACTGGACTTGATGACCTCTTGAGGTCCCTTCCAGTCCTAGAATCTATGAATCATTTGGGGCCTGCAGACATACTGTAATACACATAAGATAATTAAATAGCAGCTCGCCAAACAATTTAGCATGTTATTAAGACTATAATTGTAAAATAACTGTTTCTTAGATCTCATCAGGCACCTCCTTCAGCTGAGATAGGGGATTCTCACCAAGCAACTACTGCAGGAGAGATCTGGAGTATTTTTTACAAGCCATCCACCTCCATCTCCATCTTCAAGAAAAAATTTAAGAGCCAACAAGATGATTGCAACCTCCTTGTGGGAAACTAAAGTGCCAGTTACGCCATGAGACACAATATTCTCCTGCAATTCAAAGTGTATTGGGGATAATCCTTTTCCTCTATCTTCTCCTTGTTTTCCAAAGGATCTGGACAGACCTTTTCTGGAGTTCCATGGTGCACACCAGACATGGGAAAACCAGCTGCTATAACCATTTTGAAGTATCTGGAGCTTGTCAGCTCTCTCATCCTTCTAAATATGGTCTTAAACCACTTCGCTTAAAATAGAAACAGAATCTCTAAAGCAGTAGGTGTCCCGCACACCACAAAACGAGATGAATGTGGGAACCCTGTGGAGATCAGGGCTTTGGGTCTGCTTTGACTGCTGTAATAGCTTAGGGCATTTTAAGCTCAAAGTTAAGCACAAATATAAATGACACCATCTTTTCAGCTGCTGCAGCAGCAGGTGCTGAGTTGCCTCTGCTGTAGATGTTTCTAGCTGGCAATGTACAAAGGTGAGGGAGTCGCAGACTTTGAAAAGGTATCTGCCTAATAGCCAGTGTTCTGTTATTTTTGGATGGCCTCTTTTCAGAAGTACAAATATAGAGAACCAATCAGGTCTCAAAGGTAAAATTAGGAGAAAAATGCTCAACAAAGCCTGCGCTACAAACAAATTAAATAGGTGGTGCTCATTGGTTCAGCGTCGACATGGGATGTTTAGAGTTTAAAGTTTGTCCGAGCCACCATGCCTACTAATTGTTTTCTAAGAGGTCACTTATAGTAGCAAGAGACATGTCATGACAAACCTATACCATTCTTATGCCCTGCATCGAGTCTGGATGTGAACATCGGGCTGCCTAACAAAGCTATGACCTTTCAGTCAAACAGTTAAGTCAGTGAGCTTCAGATGGTAAGGCTGACAATCAAGAGTTCCTGCAACAAAAGTTAAAGATATCACTGACAGCAGCAAAAGGTGGGGATGAAACAATGGATCTGTAATAGTTGGTAAATGACTGCATGGCATTATCAGTATCAATTGACTAGAAGGTTGGAAGGAACAGTAAGGGGCATGTGTATGTGTGAGTGAGAGAGAGGTGACCAAATAGAAATGTATGTGACAGAGAGACAAACCTGCTATCCTCTAGATGCCTGAATATATGTGTGCAGCTGTAACCTCTGGGACACTTGTACTGCAACCTGAGGGTTGGGAGGGTGTGTTTAACCTGGAGTGTTTGAGGTTTGTGGGTTTAAGCATTATAAATGCTTCAGCAACTCATCTGCCATTTAAAAATGGAGTTGCTGCAATGAGAGCAGCTGAAAAAAGCAGCAATAGTTTCCATAGCTCAGGGCTTGAGACTCCCACACATTCCTGTGCTAGTGTCTGGACAGCAGGCTCCACTTCCCTGTACAGGGGACTCCTTGATGCTTCCAGCCTTTGCACCTGTTTCTATTGTGACCTTGTCAACATCATATTTCAAGTGCACCACATACTTCCCAGCAATCATGAGGCCAGGATTAGGATAGTGGCAGCCAATCCTTACCCCAACGCTAAATCAAGCTGCCTTGCTGTGCATTCCAGACTGCAGAACTACACGAGGAAGTGATGGGACAGCTGGATTTTATCTCCATTAAGAGGTGACAGTGTATAAATGTGAGTAATCAAAGCAAAGAAGAGCTCCAGTTAGACAACAGAATGAGGAGGAGAAACAGTGGAGACAAACACCAACCCCTCAGGAAATCTACCCAAACAAAGCAAAATTGGGGCCAAGACAAGTGACAGCTGCTGCTTTCGGTTAAAGGTGGTTTTGAATGTTCTTGCCAACAATATCAAGGCCAAGAGTGTTCTCACTCCAATTTTTTTGATCCAGGAGAGGGGATTACACCAGTGCAGCTGTCTTCATACCCTGCAGTATTGGAGTAAGTATCTTGTTCCAGAAGCCTTTGGACTTGTATCAACATATGCTCATCCTCCACCACGGGCGGTTCGACGCTGCCATAGAATCCATGCTCTAACCTCAAAGCCAGGTGAATGACAAAGACATGGCCAAGAATAGTCTTCAGGAGAGTTACAAAAGGGACACTGGGTTTCTCACTAGAACAGCCGGAATGATGCTTTCATACAAACAAGGGCTTAACACCAGCCACAAGAAGACCAGCCTGTGTCCTCTTGATAATGAGGCTCTTTTGTGGAATCATTTGTTACATGATTTCCTACACCATGAAAAGTCTGAACATGGCGGGGCAGAGCCTCAACAAGTGTGTTACCATAGCTCCATTGACTTTACTGGTTCTATGACAATTTACAGTAGCTGAGAGAGAGGGCTCATTTCACTAAGAGTTCTGTGCTGACCAGCCTTGCCTTGGGTAATTAATTTTGATCTTTTGCTTCCAAACAGAGCAAAGTGGACCTAAGGACTCTAGTATATGGTGGAAACAGGCCTTTCCTGTGCATTCCCCAAAATATTTTCACACTGCTGCGTCACTGTATTGGCCAGAATGTATAAGTAGGTTCATGCAGCAACAAATGCAAAGCCAAGAAAATAGTGTTTTTCCCTGTGAGTATCATACTGCAAGCCAAATAATATGACACGTCTCCTACTAAATTCAGGTACCAATCCACTTACAAGGAGGGGAAAAAACAACTCAAAATACCCCCAAAAGAAACTACGACTCACAACAGTGAAGTCTATTGAACAAACAGCAGCTCGAACCGAAACAGAATTCAGTGAGTCCCTTCTAAATTAATCTCCAGTTAGAAGAAAAGAATAATTGCTCCAGGCTTCACAAAAAGAAAATATCATAAAAATTGACATGTTCACAGATGGTCCCTTAAAAAGAATTTCTATCTGCATCAACCAACTGCTGCAAAAAGGAGGGGAAGAGACAGCCTGCAGAGAGATATGGTGAACGGGGATGGCAAGAGATCACCTAATCAAACCAGAAGGTACCTTAATTAGAAAAAAAGCTGAAGTCCCAGACAGGCTGATGCTCTCAGGCTTGTATTTGAGGGATGGGGGAAAGAAAAGGATCAGTTATGCTACTCAGGGCTTCCTAGTGAATGTTTGGATTTTTCTTTTTTTTAATTAATGAAGCTACTGAGGAGCGGCATTTGTTCAGATCTCCAGGGACTAGGCGTGTAGGAGAATAGGGCTATAGAACTTCAGAAAGCCAGAAAAATGGGGTACACTTAAACCTGAAGTCCCAGCCCTAGCTCTTCTATACTGGCTGTTAGTTTAGGTCACTGCTTATGGGGACTGCTATCTTGGCATACTTTATGCCCTTGATGTAATCATCTGAGGAATGGAGACAATATGCTGGAGAGCCCTGTAACATCAGCCAAAAAGGAAAACAAACTGGAAGCTAAGGAGATTTCAGAAATGTGGTTTTGCCAATTTCATCTACTTCACCCAACTGGCAAAGCTAAAATGGTTTCTGTCTCTGATCTGAAGCTGTTGGGCATGCACAGTCACTTTGTATCTTGGTAAATAAATAAAGAATTTAAGATGGAAAAATCAACTAGAATAGCTGCTTTTCAGAGCATAGCAGGAGCTAGAAAACAAGAGAGGTAGTGCAATACAAAGTCTCTATGACTCAGTTGACAGTGGAGAGGAAATTCCTCTTTACTCAGTCCTAGTCGCAGTCTGTTCCCGAATCTGAGGGAGATTTACATTTCACTGTTCTGCAGGGTGGACAAAAGATGTAACCTGCAGATGATGCCATAGCGATGTTTATTTGCCATAGATGGATCTCAGAGGTGTCATAATAATTCTATAATAAATATTCTGTGCCAAAAGACTTTAAGACAGTAATTACCAGATTGTTTCTAGTAAAAGGGAAATGCAATGAGCACAGTTGGTACCTTCTTGAGTGAGCCTGCTAGAAGGTCTCTGGAAAAGGCAGTTTAAGTACCTGAAAAATTAACGAGAGGGAGAAGGTTGGTTAATTGCACCTGTTAACTCTTAAACATCAACAGCTTGGATAAAAGCAAGCATCTGTTTTCCAAATAAAATAATTTGAATAGTCAGTGCTTGTGCCTTGAGTAGAGAGGTTCCTCTTGAACAGATTCATAGCAAAACAATGGAGTTTCTCCTCATCCCTAATCACAGCCAAGATAGGAAACAAATTATCACATTTTACTATAGAACAATACTGGAGAGTAAAGCAGTAGGAAGTCAGAGACTGGCAGTAGAAGGTAAAGCTAGTGACCCAGATGTTACAGCTGTAAGTAGGTCATGCAGACGCTCCATTTTCTTGTCCTAGCAAATACTCTTGAGCAGTTAAACATATTGATCTATGATCATGAATACTTCCTTCCACGTGGAAAGTGCTTCAGAGGCAAGCTTTTTCTTCTATTTTATTCTGAACAAGTGTACCAATTTCAAGTGGGTTTTTTAAACCTTGGTTTACATATTTTCCTCCCCTCCATCAGTCTAGTTTCTCATTATTAAGATGCTTCATGTACCATCCCCCCCCCGCTCCGCTGCTTCCCTAAGGTTGCTGTCCTGATTTTCAAAGCACTGCATAAAATTGGTCTCAACAATTTGAGAGACCATCTCTCGCTTTTTTCTCTATAACCATGACTTCCCATGATAGTTACTTTTCACTGGAACAATGAAAATCTTGACCCGGAAGGGAGGCCAGTGACTACAGGAGAAAAAACTTTCTTAGGAGCAGACCCAGAAGAAATAAGAATGGTCCAGCATCCCTTTTTCAGAGCTAACTGCAAGCCCCACTTCTTCACCCAGGATTTCCTGAAGTACACTCACTTTCATACTGACATGTTAAAATCCAATCAGCCAACCCACCCTGAGCCTGCTATGTGCCAGCAAGGGAATAAAAGCACTGTCAGCACTCAGATTCTATGGTGATGGGGGGGGGGGGGAGGTCATATATAAGGATAAACAGAAACAGACAAATAGCTAGCACTAGGTCAGGCACAACAAGGCAAAAGCACCATAAAAAACTGGGATGATGGATGGATAGTCTCATGACCAAAGAATCAGTGAGGATGTTCTCTTGTCCTGGCCATAAAACCTGAGGAAAATATGAAAA